GCATTCCTGTCCAACGTCTTGTAGAGGAGCCAGAGATGTTCCAGTGGTTGGAAAGTTAAGATAAAACCTGAGGTTTATGGCTTTGCCATTTCACAGAAGAAGCTCTTGATAAATTCTAGTTCCCGCTGCAGGTGCAAGCCGTGTTACTGGTTTCACTGTGCAAGAGACACCGTTCCTTCCCATCAGCCCCCAGCGGCACTCACCTGAAACACGTGTAGTGCTGAAACCCCCAGGAAAGTGTGTCTTTGCAGAGCTTCAGGAGGCCTCTGAGGACACTCAGACTAGATTCAAAGCTGAGAAGCAGAGCCGCAGACAGCTGGACATGAAGATCACAGCGCTGGAAGAAGAGCTAACAGACCTGAAAGTGGAAAAGACGACTCTTGAAAGGGTATGGCCAGCGCCGGCATTAGAGAGATGCAGGGTTTCAGGTATTTGCTGAAATTTAACCCAACGTTCTTGCTTGTAAATACGCAAGTTAGGTAAATCTTGACTCATCTGCAGGCAAGGATTCCTGTGCCGGTGGATCCTTTGTACTTATGTGATTTTTATTTATTTTTTTTTTTAATATCTTAGCCAGTAATGTGTTAACCTTCCTACCTCTAAAATAATCTTAGCTTGGTTTTGAAGTTACAAGGTTCCCTGCTCAAAGAAGCTCTTTCTGCACAAGGAAGAGAAGCTACTTTGGTGCAGTCTGGCCTATTCTATCTCCTGTGTTGCAGAATCTTGCAGAGAGAAAGAAGAAATCCCTCTCAGAGAGAGCTCAAGCAGAGGAAGAGATGGAAGAAATACGCAGGTCATACCAGCAGGAACTGGACAAGCTTCGACAGTTGCTGAAAAAGGCACGGACTTCAACTGACCAGGCAGCAGCAGAGCAGGTGAGGAGTCCTGGGAGCTTCTCCAGCAAGTGTCTGGAAGGCTTGTAGGAACCTACAGGTCGGAAATAGTCATGAAAATGCTCAGGCAGTGGAAGAATGAAAACAGTGCCTGCCTCATTGCAGGGTTAACACAAGGTTCACTTTGCTCTGAAATACCTTTGCTGGGGTGTGCTTGCTCTGCTTCTGACTTCGGGGGTTGCACTTGTGTCTCTCTAAGGAAGCGCAGGACGTGAGCAGGCAGGCAGGCTGCGAGGTCCCTGACTCGAGTCACGGGCCTGGCTGCAGAGTTTTGGTGCAGCAGCAGATGTGGTCTGTGTCAGAGAGTGTCAGACTGAGGAAAGGAGAGGCACCGAATTGAGCTCATAGTAGAGAGAAGAATGCAGGACTGCTGACGAGTGACAGACTGCTTAGAAATGTGCCCAGAGATCTGCAGTCAGCCAGAGCTGCAGGCCAGCCTGAGGGGTTGTGGCTGGAACTGAACTCCGAGAGGGGTGGGCAGGAGCTGGTGAGGCTGCGGGGCTGCCATCCGCACGTTGGTGTTCCAGCCTGGGGCGGGAGACGTGGCTGAGAGCCTGGGGCTGGACAGCCCGTGTGCAAACGCAGACTGTGCGCCTGTGTGCGCGTGCGTGTGTTCTCCTAACGATCTCCCCTACGTGATGGGCAGCTGTCACTCATCCAGGCAGAGCTGGAATCCCAGTGGGAAGCCAAATGTGAACGTACACTGGCCTCGGCCAAGGAGCAGCATGTTCGACAGTACCAGGAGGTGTGTGAGCAGAGAGACTCCCTGCAGCAGCAGGTGTCCCAGCTGGAAGAGAAGGTAAAGGGCTGTTCTTTGTTGCTGAAATGTAGTGCCAAGTAACCAGTAGCTGTAACCAACAGTCCTCCCCCAGTAATTGTGGGTTGACTTGCTAATTTCTTGACTGTTATGGAGTTTGGTCTTGTCCGCAGGACGTGTCTGTACTTATAACTCTTACGTTGGGTTGGTGGGCTGGCAGATTTACTGCCGTTGTTCTGAGTGACTGGTTTTGAGCAGAAACTGTTTTCAAGAGGGTGACACTGAAAGGGGCAGTAAACTGATGGGCTCTAGTTCCTGTCTTTCAGGTTGCAGCTCTAAAACACTCGAAAAAAGCAGAGGAGCAAAAATTGTCTGAGTTTCAGCAACGTTTGGAGCAACTAGAGCCTATCAAAGAGAAGGTAAAGGGAATAACACAGCAGCTGAATATGAACTGGAGCGCAGTAATCACTACCCTCAGGCTGCCAATGTCCAGGATAACTAGAATATGAGAGGGAAGGAATAATTTCACATTGCTTCCAGCAAACCAGAACAGGCCCAGTATGAAACCCACCCTCATTTCACTGGGATCTCAGTAATGCTGTGCCCGTTCTTGGTGTTACTTGAACTTGAAGGGCTAATGAGATGGTTGTGGCCCTCCAAGGGTTTGGCTTGGTTGGGTGTCTTTATTTTGGTGCTCTTACTTCCAGCCAAGTCTTTTGCACCTCTCTATCAAAGCCCTGCTTAAAACTCTACTCAGCCATTGCCCATCACCAAAAAGCTGCTTACAGATACCCCATCCATTGCAGGGTTCCCTGGGGTGGTGTCGGTGAAGCTGTTCTAACTCTCCCTGTCCCTCTGGCAGTATTCAGCCTTGCAGGCTGACGTCGTGGTGCTGAGGAGTCGCTATGAAGAGCGCATCCGAGACCTGGAGAAGGACCAGGGTGGATCTTCACCTGCAGACTTCGCAGAACAAGTGAGCTTGGCTATCCAGTATTTCTCCTTACTGAGCAGATCTGTTTACCTTGAGTTATTTCTCTTTGAGCAGAGATAAGAAGGAAAAACATTATTTTCTCCACAGAAGCACCATGTTTCTAGTAGCGAGGCCTGTAGAGGAAGAAAGGATGTGATCTTCCTGCTGCCTGCTTTGTTGCTTGATTTTTTTTTTAAATTTTTTTAAATTTTTTTTTTAGGCTAAAACTTAAGATTTGAGGTTTAGATTTTAAAAATCAAAAGAATAATGAGAAATAAGTGTCAGTCCGCCTTGGGTTTGTGCAACCTGCCTCAGTTCTGGCGGGGTGGGTTTGATGTACGTGTAATGGTGCTGAGTTAAGATGGCGTGAGGTATTCTGCTGCGTTACGGGAATTTCTGGTTTGAAAAGTGGTTCTTGGAAAACCACGTGTGTCTGTCAGGATTTCTTGTTCCTTCAGCTGGAGAAGTGTCTGATGTTGAGTCCAGTGCTTCACGCGTTAATGAATCGTATCTCTGCTTCCTGTCTTGCTCTGTTCCAGGTAAAGAAGATCATGAACGGTGTATTTCAGTCTCTTCGGGGTGAATTTGAGCTGGAAGAGACATACAGTGGCAGGACAGTCCTGGGTGTTGTCATGAACACAATTAAGGTACAATAGTGATAAGAGAGATGAGGTGATCAATGTGAGAATTGGCTAAAAACACAAATTTGTGTTGTGAGTCTGAAATACCCGTGAAGCAGAAATGTGGTGTGGGTGGCAAAGCAGCCCAGTAATAGAAGGTACGGGGATCTGGGGTGGTTTATGTTTAGGGTATAACCTACGTTCTCAACTCCATTTTGTAGACTGTAACACTGCAGCTACTCAGCAGGCAGGAGGAGAAACCAGATCATGACAGGAAAAAGGAGGAATCTGGAACAGGAGCAGCGAGACCGGAGGGATCACCTGGAACAAAGGCTGCCCGTGAAGAGCCCGTGCAGCATAGCCCAGCCCAGAGTGTTGCGTCCCCAGCTGATCCTGGGCAAGCAGCCCCAGGCTCCGTGGTGTCGGACCAGGAAGGAGAGGCTGCTCCTCTGTCTGCCAGGCCCAGCGCTCCTGAGGAGGAGCAGGCGACGCAGAGCAGTGGAGTGTCGGAAGAGGAGAAGGTCCAGGGGGAGCATCTCCTTCCCACGGCTGAATCTTGCCTGGATCCTGACGAGGGGCCTGTCCTTGCAGGACAGGCTGTTCCTGAGGCGGGTGAGGACTTGGCGCCGGCTGAGCAGAGGCAGGAGAGCGATGCCATCGGGAAGGCTGAGGCTGAACGCGGCCCCTCCAGAGTATCTTGGCAGGCAGAAGTTGCAGAACCTTCTCTCCT